AACTTTGTTATTATTGTTGCCCTAGTACTTTACTATAGAGAGAATACCTTTTGATGTTAATTCCTTTTTTTTTTCGAGAGTGCTGGCGATGATCGAACAGGCGACGAGAGTGCAGTCGATGATTGAGCAGGCGGCGACGATGCCTGAGCATGGGCAGAGGTTGATATGGACAATAGACCACTGATGGCATCATTGTCGTCGTCTTGCATGAAGTTGTCTTGGGTCACAGCTCCACTGTCATCGTAGTCATCTTGGAATCCACCTCCGCCATAATTGTGGTCATCGACCTGGTCATCAACCTGGTCATGATCACTGTTAGCATCGTCTGAGGACATTGTTCCTTCATCAGACTCTGTGCTGGCGTCCCAGAATGAATCGTCGTCGTCATCGGTCGTCATTCACCCTTGTTGGTCGACCAGCAGGAAYGGGAGAAGGAATGGGCGATGATGGAGGAGAGGGAGCAGGAGCAGGCATTTGTGGAGCATTCACACGAGCATTCGATCTAGTAGTTGGAGGAGCCGCACCTCGACGCCTTGATGCATAGGCAACCTTTGTACGTTCTGAACAGTTAGGTAATGTAACTCGAGCAGTGGTTCTGAAGCGCACAAAGATATTCTCTAACTCATCCTCATCATCGAATGAATGACCTCGGAAGCACTCTTTGAAGATAGAAGCACCAAGATGTCGCCGCTGGAGGTCTGGACGCTTGTAGTAACCACTACAATAGACGTACAACCTGGTTGCCCGTTCCAGGATCTGCCGGCATATGTTGATGTTGTTTGAGGAACCAATCTTTGAGGCCTTGTTGATTCGATGTGAGCCTGTACGTAGGTGTCAGTCTTTATTCAACCAGTACCAGTGACATCTAACTAACGAACTTACACTCAATAGCAAAGTTGGCAAACCTGTCCAAGTTGGAATATTTCTCCAAGAAGTACCCAATGTGGTACACCAAGACGTGCATGTATGATGATACATAGGTCTTTGGATAGAGGCTGACAAAGTTCTTGCCAAAGACCTTGGCATACTCCAACCATTCTTGTTCTGTCACCTTGCTCTTCCTCTTGACACACATACCGAGCAATGTGTAGCACTGATCCCACAAGAGCTTAACCTGTTGAATGTGTCCATTGGTTAGTGTATGTTCAATCAATCAATCAATCAGTCATTCATTCAATCCAATCAACCACTTACCTTGTCGGCGTATTCGTCTCCTTCATTACAGTACCTCTTGTAGATTGCCAACAGGCCATCCTTCTTGTTTAGGATCTTCAGACACTGCTCGTAGTTGAGCCGCGACCCGGCAAAGGTGGTGAGTATGTCCTCATTCGGCTGCATTTGTCTCATTGTGATGCCAATCGATTTGAAGTGATTGAGCACCTCTCTGCCAAAGCGAGGATCATTGACAGACAGCAAGAGCATCTTGGTCATAAGCTTCACTTGACTCATCAGCAAATGTAGCGTGTCTGGCAGGATGAGGGTCATCCTCATGAACTTGAAGATTGGATCATGCTGTTAGGTATGACATGTCAGTTACTTGTTCAAACAGATGGTGATTGATCCAATGTACTTACTCGACAACCTTCATTATTGCCTGGGTCTGACGATGCATGCATCTGAGACACATCTCTTAGGTCATGTCCGTCAAAATTGAAGTCGGCCAAATCATGCTTCGTCACAGAGCACCAACAGCATCTGTAGGTCGAGTTGGTCTTGTAGCATGCGTAGATACCCATGATGCAGATTAAGCATGCCATGTCAACGACAATCACTGGATAGATGGTAACAGTGCTGTTGGGCGAGTAGGATGGTGTGAAGTCAAACGAGTCGACACGACGGTTCATCAATGTCTTGAGCTCATTACAGAACTCACTTAGGCTGCTCCTCATCTGGTCGTAGTCCTCCTTCCCTTCATACACTAGGAACTGTAGATTGTCAAACGGCGAGCGTAGCCTCCTCTTCCTCTTTGATTCATACATCAACTGGATTGTTCCAATGACGACAGACATGGTCTTGGACAGCGCGCATCCATCAAATGATATCTTGAGGTACAGCTTCTCACCTGGTCTCAGATTTGGCCTCTCCTTGTCCAACGCTTTATCAATCAATGACCTGAGAGTAGCATAAGATGCCTTCCGGCTCTCCTTGTCGAACATACAGATATGCCTAATTGTCTCTGGTGGTATGTGAACAAGGTCAGCAATCAGATCAACTTTCATGAATGTATGTTGTTGCCAATGATACTCACCAGTTTGTATTTGCTTGACCTTAGATAGACTGTACTTCTTGGAGAGTTTGAACGTCTTCCTCAGCCTCATCCACATGGCGTCTGGTATCTGCAACTCATCCTTGAGTTGCGACAAGTCGGTGAGTGGCACATAGGTCTGGTCCATCTCGTTGGCTGATTGGACTTCAATGCATCTCACACATGTAGGTGGACACTTGTGAAGGTCTGTCACTCGCTCATGTTGCGACAGATTGCTGCTCTCGAAGCTGGTCTTCTTGGAATCACATGTCTCATGCCTGCACGCTTTGTAACCAACTGGAATTGGAACTGGGCCAGCTGGAGGAGGTCTCTTGGATACGCACAACACGCACTCGCCTGTGGTACACTCTGTCTGATGATGCTTTCGGTAATGTTTGGAACGTGCTTGAGTGCTGGCGTATGTACGACCACAACTGATATGCTGACATGTAACTTGCACCATTATATATATATATATATATA